CCCCCGATGCCTAAATTAGTTCAAGAGTTTGTAAGAAAAACACTAGCTAATTAGGGTACGAAGATGTGTTTGTGGTGTAAACCGGGGGGCCTGAGCCTTATGTAAAAGAGCGAGAGAGACGAGGTGGTTAGGGTTTGAGAGGAATTTTCTGCAGAGTTTCAGTAGAGATTTTAGACGTACCTCAACCCTTGTGTGTGACTATCTTTTTATAGTGGTCTTGGAGGCTATGGTTTCAGAGGAATAATTTCGTAGATGGAAGAGAATTATTCATCCCCTATTTGGAATTGATTTGATTAATTAGGGATTTGATTTATTAGGGTAAATCAAATCCCTAATTGTGGTAGGTATCAAATCAATTTCTAATTTGACTAGGTAATTTCTCATTTAATTGGGAATTGTGGTATGAATCAAATTAATTCTCTATTTAATTAGGTAACTCCCAATTAGGTTGAGTAATTCCGAATTAGGTCAAATAATCCCAAAATAAAAGGAATCATTTGACCTAGGGTTTTGATTTAATTTGGTTCCCACAAACATCAGTTCAACTTTTCCAATCAGCTTGGCTTGGCTGCTCAGTGTCAAGACCCCAGTGCTCCACTCAGTGCCAAGATTGGAATTGCTTGGCAATGCGCATTGGAATTCAAATTCACTGTGACATCGATTTCTTTGGTGGAAAGCATTCACGCCTTGGTACTGAAACGTGGCAATGCTTGCATCGAACTTATAGGGACCCCAATTTGTGTTCTTGACGTGGATTTGGGTCGTGAGGCTTGTGTCAAATGATGGTGTTGCTAGCACAGAGTTAAGACTTTGGACATTGATATTTCCTAACCTGACCTTGGTGGTCTTAACTTTCATGCAGTGAGTCCAAATATGGTCATGACAATGATATGAAAGCCCCAATGTAAATTGTCAATTCGATTCTCTTCTTGCATTTCTGCTGATCAGCGGATTGCAAAGATTCTGCATCACTTCTTTTCCATGTTTCCTTTTCTTTTCTGATGCAAAAAGTGAACACAAGTTCTCTGTTTTTGTTGTTGGTTTGTTTTCTGGGATGAAACTTAGGAAATGCAGGTATTTGCTTGTGTTATACATACAGTGTTTGTACTTAACGAGCGAAGTGTAGAGTTCACGAAGAAAAGGATAAAATAAAATTAAGAAATGTGTTACATCGTCTCTGTACTTTTGTAAGCTTCAGAGAGATCCAGTTGTTTGTGTTCTAGGCAAAACCTTTATGCCGTCATAGATTCCTATTATTCTATGCTTTTGTTTCTATCAGTTTAATATCTGGAAATAGATTTACAGTGCAAATACTTTCTATATTTCTGTTATTCTAAACTTGAATTATCACTGTTACATTGCAACAGACGCATTTCATTTTATATATTGAGAAATTATTAACTTATTAATAATTAAATTAAGTTCCTTAAATCCTTGGCTTTATTGGATTCGATAAGGCCTCTGCAACTTTCAAGCTTTCCAGCCCAGATTATTCCCTTTTGTAAGACTTTGATAATTCTTGTCTTAATCATGGGACTGCAGAATTAAAAAAACAGATAAAAATTTTAAAGACATCTTGAACCTGCCAATACATTTTGACCAAACAAGCGATAATATTTTATTAGATCAATGAAAACGTACATAGAGAGCCATCAATATTAGCAAATACAACAAACATAGGTAAAGCTTCCCTAGTGCCAATACTATTCACAAGGTGATTAGCAAACTGTGTATAATAGATCCCACGTCACGTTCTCACCTGTCACTGGCAGTAGGAGATTTGGTCAATTGCAGGCAGAGAGATTCGAAGCTTCTATTGATATTTATAATATTTCCATCATCTCATGACTCGTGAGAAAAGCCTAAACGGTCCTCAGCTGCACCCAAGTCATTGTTCATCTATCTAGAAGCCAATAATTCCCACCCTCGGCTTTGTACGCGTTTTGTGTCTCAAATAAAATAAAAATCCTTCCCTTGAAATTTACATTTTCCTGGAACTTCATTCTATTCTATCACTTAACTTGACGAAAATAGGCCAATCTCCAAACACTATATATAACAAACCACTCTTCCTTCATTTCCACAAACACCTCCCTCAGCTTTCAAGTTTCATCCTAGGAAACAATACCCCACAAAGCAAAAGCAGAGAAACTTTCTTTCCAATTTCATACCAGAAAACAAAAAACAAGTTCACATGGCAGAGAAAACCAACCCGGCCTATCCATTGGCACCGTCAAATGGTTACACAAGAAGTGATGGAGAGTCTCAGCTGTCCGCTGATGAGCTGAAACGCAAGAAGAAAATCAAATTGGCCATCTATATTACTATTTTCGTTGTGTTTCAGATCATAGTTATCACCACCATGAGTCTCACTGTGATGAAAGTTAAGAACCCCAGGTTCAGGCTAGGCAACATCAACGTCCAAAGCTTTGAATCTGTCCCGGCAACACCTTCATTCGACACAAAATTCACAACCCAAATCAAGATCAAGAACTCAGCCAACTGGGGTTCCTACAAGTTCAATGCTGCCAATGTCACGTTTCAATACCAAGGCGTGACTGTGGGAGTAATTGATATCGCAAAGGGCAAGGTTGGATGGCTTTCGACCATAAAAAGAAATGCGGAGGTGAGTTTGAATTCAAGTGGAATAACTAGTTCAAATCTTGGAAGCGAATTGAGCAGTGGGGTGTTGACCCTCAACAGCGTAGGAAGATTGAATGGAAAGGTTGCAATTATGTTCATCATGAAGAAGAAGAAGGCTACCAACATGAACTGCACCATAGCTTTTGATGTGGCAGCCAAGACCCTCAAATCTTTAGAATGCAAGTGAAAACACAGAAGCTATCTGTAAATTTTGCGATGCAGCTTGGCCATCTCTCTGTTATATGATGTGGATTTGCGACTGATCAAGTCTACTTCTTGGATTGTGTTTTTTTTTCCCTTCTTCTTTTTTTTTTTTTTTTTTGTTTGGGTATGAGTGAGTGAGTGTAATTTTATGAATAAATCGTTGCTATTATTTTCACTGGGACTCTGGCTTTTCTATTTCTACGACTATAATTCTTATCTCTTCATTCAAAAAGTTGCCCAACTTGAATACAGTTTAAATGTAGCCCAAGTGGAAATAGAACAGTGTTGCATTAATTGAAGTCATTAATCATTAAACTTGATGCTTATCAAAAGCTTGAGTCTTGTCTAAAATTTTCATGCTGTCATTATTGCAGAAATAGTTTTCTCACTGTAATCCGTGAGTCCTGAGTCACTGATTTGCCGTGACTAGTACAATAATTGGATAATGGCTATTTGAAGTCACATGTGTGCACTCAGTGTGAAAATATATCAGTGGATATTGACCCTTTTTCAAGTCCAACTAATATTAATATTGGGGTTAAAGTTTTCCTTCTTTATTTTTTTTTTTCCGAAAATAGCTGAGACATGAGAATATGAACATAACTTGCAAAGAACGTATCACGTATAGTGTTTGTGAAAATTATTTTGTTTCAATAAACCATATTTGTTCACTAAACTTAACTGCTTACCAGTTGATGCGGTACCGTAGATTTCAGTTTTTTATTTGTTAGAAATAAATAACGCTAATCATGAAATCAAATTTGTGTTCTTCAGACTCTGATTTGGGTTCTGAAGCTTGCATCAATCGAAGGGACATAGTTGAGGGTTTGGACATTGATGTTGCCCAACATGATTTTGCTCTTTCACTCACTAAAATGAATTGAGCAAGTGTATTAGGTGGTTGTCTGTAGGAATGCTGGCTTCTGCTTCTGCTTAGCCAAGTTGGCTTGAGCAGATATGATCCCCACTCTGCACCCGAATTTGAAACTCCCTCCCTATTTAAATAAAATTGAAGTATAATATTATTTGTATAAATAAAAAGAATGGTCAAAATGTGAATGTGTGATCTTCAATTAAGATATGAAAATTGCAGATAGTTTAATATTGTGACTTGTGATGGAATATAGCTAGCTTTTTATATTTCTACTATTCTATACTTTGTATCAGGTGCTAATGGAGGAGTTGTATACTTTGCTAACCACACAGATTCAATCTGTATTTAATTATATATATATAAAGTAAAAAGATAGAGAATGGTAAAATATTCAAAATACTAGAAAATGCCATTGATTAATGCAAACATTAAAAATTGAAATTATCAATTAAATGAGGATAATATGGTAAATTCACATTTTTCCATATTAAAAAAAATTAAAAATAAAAGAAAATTTCTGATAATGGATCATATTTTTATAGAACACAACTACTCATTATCTTTTTTAATTCTAAAATAAATTTAAATTTTTTTAAAATAAGCCTTTGCAATCGCGGAAACGCATGAGGAGAGACTATTATAATATTAAACAAAATATTACCTTCAAAATTACATAAGTTCCTAAAATCCGTGGCTTCGTTGGATTGATCAAGGCCTCTACAGAATAAATCATATTTAAAAATAAAATAAAATAAAAAACCAAAAGTTGCCAAAGTTTTAAAACTTTGGGACATTTTGGAAAAAGCAAAAAGAGAGAAAAATTTTAAAAGAAGCAAAAATGGACAAAAATACCCTTATTTATTTTTAGATTTCCTAAGGAATCCAATACATTTGTATGTCTTTGATTTGAAAGTTGAGTGGTTTTTTGTCATTTTTGAAAAAGCTTTGGCTTTTTTCAAAAGTGAAATTTTTTTTATGTCTAAAACCTAAAAAACCTTAAAACTTTTAACAGTTCCCACATCACGTTCTTACCTGCCATTGGCAGATTTGGTCCATTGAATGCAACGGATAGAATTGAAGTTTTCTCTGATAATTAATAATTTAATATGTTCAACTCAAATATCAAAAGGAAGTCATCCCTCCTCTAGAAAGTCAATAATCGCCACCTCCGCCTTTGGACGCGTTTGTTGTCGTCTGCAACAAAATTCTTCCCCGAAACTCACAGCTTCCTGGAAACTCATCAATCCGAAGGGGTTATATATAACACACAACTCTTCCTTCATTTCCACAAACAACTCCTTCAACTTCCAAGCTTTCATCCTACAAAACCAAACCCTCCAAACAGAGGCAGAGATTTTCTTTCTACTTTCATATCAGAAAACCAAAGGAAATTAACATGCCAGAGCAAAACTACCCCACCTATCCTTTAGGACCAGCAAATGGTCACACAAGAAGCGATGGAGAGTCTCAGCTGTCCGCTGATGAGCTGAAACGCAAGAAGAAAATCAAAATGGCTTTGGCCATATATATTACTATTTTTGTTGTGTTTCAGATCATAGTTATCACCACAATGAGTCTCACTGTCATGAAAGTAAAGACCCCCAAGTTCAGGCTAGGCAACATCAACGTCCAAAGCTTGGAATCAACGCCTTCATTCGACTTGAAATTCACAACCCAAATCAGGATCAAGAACTCAGCCAACTGGGGTTCCTACAAGTTCAAAGCTGGAAATGTCACGTTTCAACACCAAGGCCAGACTGTGGGAGTAATTGATATCGCAAAGGGCAAGGTTGGATGGCTTTCGACCATAAAAAGAAATGCGAATGTGAGTTTGGATTCAACTGCAATAACCGAATTGAGCAGCGGGGTGGTGACGCTCAATAGCGTTGGTAGATTGGAAGGAAAAGTTGCAATTATGTTCATAATGAAGAAGAAGAAGGCTACCAACATGAACTGCACCATAGCTTTTGATGTGACAGCCAAGACCCTCCAATCTTTACACTGCAAGTGAAGACACACAAGCTACTTCGGCATCAGAGTGATCAAGACGATAGTTCTTGGATTTTTTTAAAAATTCGTTGATATTTAGTTTTTTCCCCGAGTGACTCTTGCATTTGTTGTACAACTACAGGGCTACTCTGTTCTCTTTTAATTACTAGATAGACTGCTTGTTATTCGTTTAAACTGTGCTTATGTTTTATTTTTGCCAAATTTATTAGTACCGTCAATACATTGAAAAATGAAAAAAAATTGGAACCGAAATTCGGGAAAACAATTTGGTTTTAATTATAGAAAATCATCTCTATATCTAAACAAACATTTTGCAAAACAATTTAATTACAAGATTACAAGTCAAAAGAGCAATCTTATGAGTGCTTGTATGTATTTTAAAGTAATTAGTTCGTTAGTGCCTTCTAATTCATGATTTGATCTTATAACCATTTATTTTAAAAGAAAAAAACAAACTTATAATTTGTGTTCTCGCCAAAAATCTATTAACCCTATATATATTTTTTTTCCATCTTGATTTTGGAAAGAAAATGTGACTTACAAGTAGTGATTACATGATATGGTGCAATTCATCGATCTCTGCAGATTTCTTCTTCTTCATCACAAACATTAATTCCACTTTCCCACTAAGCTTGGCTTGGCTGCTCAGAGTCAAAACCCCTGTGCTTGCCAAAAATACTGGAATTGCTTTCCAATTCCCTGGAATTTAAAATCACAGTGGCTACAATTTTTTCGGTCGAACGCCACCGGTCCTTGCCCTTAGGAATGGCAACCTGCCCTACCCTAGAGTCACACCCTGGTACTGAAATGAGAGGCTGCTACTATCATACTTGTAGGGATCAAAATTGGTGTTCTGGACTCGAATTTGGGTTGTGAAGCTCATGTCAAAGGAAGGTGAGTCTGATTCATGGGGTACATTAGATGATGAGAAAATGATTAAAGGAAATTTGGCATAAAAATGCGTCCCAATCAGGTTTGAAATTTAGCTTACTTCTAGATGATCGCCTGACTTTGAGGACTTTTTCTGGTTTTTTTCATTCGTACAAAGGTGACATCGTCGTACAATATTTGTAGAACCTTCGACTATGTTTTGAAACAGGCAATATATATATTTTTTATTTTTTGAGAAAACCTTCAACGTAAACGTACAATCCATCATCAGCTACACAAGGCCGTTCTCTATAAAGAAAAAAGAAAACTCATTGCAAGAGAAAACGCGCCCAAGAATCCGTACGAGTCTTTTGTCAAAGTACTTCAATCTACAAAATAGAAAAACTTCAGAAAGGCAGCAAAAAGCACTTATGATCTACCCTGTGGAGGCAACAAATTTTACCTGACTTTTTTGTTGTTGGAACTTGTATGAATCTAGACTCGATTCGATTCTCGTTTATTTATAACGAACAAACTATATCATATCTTAAGCTATATCCACTGAAAACTAAAAGTTAGAAAATTAGTTAGTTCCCCTAGACCGAGGTAAAATATGAATGAACAGAGCACAAAGTAATAAAGACTCACACCAAACTAACGATTGGTGCATATTTAGTAACAGACTCATCTTGTTGACATTTATCGAACACCCATGCCGTATTGCTCCCGATATTGAAATATAAAACCATAAAGTCTTGTCCAGGGTTTAATTCTTACCTACAGTGAAGGCAATATGTGAATAGGGTTTAGGAGCTACAACCAATTGGTAGGACGTTTGGGCACGATATTAAGGTTGATAAGCTCATATGGTGTGGATCCCGAGTTTCTACATTTAAAAATGGTGCATTTATCAGTATTTCATAAAATCTGGACCATTCGACTAATCAAATGCTTGTGAATAGCCACATCGGCTACAGTAAGTTTGTTTCCTTTTTAAAAAATTAACACTGTTAGTCCCTTTGACAGAAAAAACAAACAACAATCCCTTTGACAATAAATTCTCTAATTTCACCTACCGCTCTCTTGATTCTTCCTCTGTATTTGTAATCTGATCTTTTTTTTGGGTCTTTTGGCTTCTTCTTCTACTTTAATTTGGAGCTTCAGCTTACAAGATGAGCCAACCAAGACATAGTAGACTCAAATTGGTTCAGGTTTTTCAGAAAACTATGTCAAGGAATTTCCTATGCTAGGAAGCAATACTACCAACTGTTCTGAAGAACAAGTAGGCTCTCCTAGTCCATCCCCTCTTCCCAAGTTCAGGTGTCGTACTTCCAAGCCCATTCATCAATCAGAATAGCAATCAATTGGGTATTTTTCTTATCAATTTCAGATGATAATTACAGCTTGTAATAACAATCAATTGAAATAGTGTATTTGGAATTTAAAATCTATTGATTGAAGCAGAGTTCCAATAGTTATCGATTGAAGAAGCCAAAAGAAAAAAAGAAATATCATATTACAAAGACACCAGAGGAAGAACCAAGAGAGCGTCAGGCGGATAAATGCACTATTTCTAAATGCAGAGGCTTAGAATCCATATGGTACATAGCATTTTAGGTATATATTCCTAGTGTGTGTGCACTAATTCTAATTCTACGTGCTTTTAAAGTCATGAATAAAATGCCCTAGACGAAACAGAATATTACCCAAAACCAAAACACAAGCCTTCCTTCTAATTGTTTCCGCAAGAAGCTCAGCAGAACTACCTGCATCTAGGAATACTCAATAATGTAAAAGATAGTTATAACTTATATTGAATATACAAATTAAGAAACGAACTGAGGCCTCACCTCACCAATTACCAATTAATCAGCCCTTAATTCTCTTATATAATTGAAATGAAAACATTGGACATGTTGAAAGTATACGTACGAAAATCAAAGCTTATGTATAGTAAATATAGGGATGGTTGCGGTTCAGTTACCGACCGACCGACTATTTGCAGTTTGGTGTTTTTTGAAACCGTAAACCGACCGCGTTTTGCGGTAAATCGTATTGCGGTAAAACCGCAATTTCGGTTGGTTACTGTGAATTAACGGTTTAAACCGATTGTGATATTTTGCGCCTAAATTATACAATTTTAAGTCTTTTAAGTTGGGTCTTTTTGTGTCATAAAAATCTAATCTTCCATACTTTTGAAGCCTAGTTTTGAAGCTTTTTTTGAAGCTTTTTGAGTCCAATCTTCCACAGAGTCAGTTAACGTTTTAGGAAATAACTAAAAGGAAAACCATACAGTCACATTGTTAGATTCATCTCCAGTTACCCTGCATGCCATGCTCATAGCCTATTTAAAGGTCTCTGAAGGTTCCAATGGTTCTAAGCCCAAGCAGTGAGAATATTGGAATAAAATAAATAGACCAACACATATAACAGACCAACACATTCTCAAATTGGAATAAAATAAATTGAACATAATATTGGCTAATTATTAGCAAACAAATTTTAAAGGGTAAATAACGTAATAATTATGTATTTATCAATTAGATTAGGTATGATCATAGCCGTTAGATCTAACGGCTATCAATGAATTAAAAATACATATTTTTATTATTAATTAAAAAAATATTTGCGGTTTGCAGTAACTGCAAACTTGAAATTTTCCAAACCGCCACCGCAACCGCAATTGCGGTGCGGTTCCTCAAACCGTAAATTGTGGTCGGTTTTCCCGCTTGTTCAGTTCAAATGTGGTAATATCTCGGTTGGTTTATGTGATTTTTCATTTTTTCGATCTAAAATGCCAGCCCTAAGTAAACATTTCGCCTTATGTATTTCAATAATGTAGAGGAAAGTATATATAAAGCACACATTGTATAGCTTTACAACAAACACAAGCGTACATAACTCAAAGACAAAAAATTAATTCAAGAACATGTCTTGATCACTCCCAAATCAATTGTATACCTTTGTTGGTGAGGCTTCTTCATATGCATTGTAAAACTTGAACAGTTTTTGTGGAAAAATTATATGCAATTAATGGTGCAGAAAAGGTTCTGTTTTTTCTGTTTATTCGCTCTGTAAAGTCTAAAATGGATTGAGATAGAATGCTGGCTAAACTTCCGGGAAATGCTTTAACGTATACTTTCAGTCTTTGACTTGTAAGTTATAGTCTTGTATTCTAGAATCAATATGTAGATGGTTCAACAAGCCACTGTGACCTGCCCTACAAAGAAAAGTATTAGCCTTTTTATAAAAGGCAAAAAAAAAAAAAAAAAAGAAGCCAAAAGATCCTTCCATTTGGACCCAACCATATCTCTTTTCTATCCACAAAATTGGAGTTCCCCTTTTGCCCCCTAACAAAATTAAAAGCAAAAAAATAAAAAAAATAAAAAAATAAAAAAAGAAGTGTCTCTAAATCAAAGACTTGTTCTCAGAGCTCTCACTTGAGACTACCAGATTTAAAGTCAGCACCACCGGCGGCTATTGCCCCAACCAAAAAAAAAGTCACTTATTTATTTTTATTGAAATAAAAACAATTAGCCCCACAAGGAGAACTAATTAGTAGCAGAGGTGAAGGTTTCAACTGAAATCTTGTAACACTGTATATGTTTTTGTTGTTTAAATTCAAATTTTAAAAATGGGTTTTTCTTTAGATTTTATGTAGTGAGTTTGCCTTAATTGTGTTTAGCTAAGTTACGCAGTTTTAAATTTGCCCCGTGCAAATAAAATTCTGAGTCCACCACTGGTTAACACCTATCAGCGGGGATACCTACGATAGGGTCAAGGAGGGGGCTCTAATTTATTTATCAATTTTAATATAAGGGTAAGATGGTAATTTCGAAAGTTGCTGTATGAGGAGATATTTATTGAGGCCCCCGCAGTAAAAGTATGCTAACCTATGACTTGGACAGACTTAGAAATCCTTGTCTGCGTTGTGGCGCTGAGTAGTCAAAGTCTTTAAAGCCCTCCCACATTTCTTTCTCTTATTCAATACTTCGTTTTTCTTTTCTCCTCGTGTTCACATCGTGGAAGGAAGGGTACATGCACTTTAATATATAAATAAAAAAATAAAAAAATAATATAAATGGTAAGTTAATCTTCTCAGCCATCTCATCGTTGAGTACCAGAGTCAATAAACTACAACTTAATTTTTTGCGTGTTGTAGTGGTCCCAATTTGCAGGAAACTTACAACCGTAGATATTACTCTAACCAAAGAGATTGCCTAAACATTATATATACCACACATCGCTCACCAATATTCCCACAACCAATACATTTTGCTCATCATTTCATACAATACTTTACAGAGAGAGAACAGAGGAAAGCAGAGCACTTTTCTTTGCAGCACAAGAAATTAAGATGGCGGAGAAAGCCAACCAGACTTACTCTTCAGGAACAGCAAATACAGGTTACACAAGAAGCGATGGAGAGTCTCAGCTGTCCTCTCATGAGCTGAAGCGCAAGAAGAGAATCAAATTGGCTATATATATTGCTATTTTTGTTGTGTTTCAGATCATAGTTATCACCATAATGAGTCTCACTGTGTTGAAAGTAAAGACCCCAAAGTTCAGGCTAGGCAGCATCGGCATCCAAACCTTTGAATCTGCCAATGGAACGTCTGTGAAATTCAACACCAAAATCAGGATCAAGAACTCAGCCAACTGGGGTTCCTACAAGTTCGAAGCTTCCAATGTCACGTTTCAACACCAAGGCAAGACTGTGGGAGTAATTGATATCGAAAAGGGAAAGGTTGGATGGCTTTCGACCCTAAAAAGAAGTGTGGAGATGAGTCTGAATTCAAGTGCAATAACTGATTCAAATCTTGGAAGCGAAGTGACGCTCAATGGCGTTGGTAGATTGAACGGAAAAGTTGCAATTATGTTCATAATGAAGAAGAAGAAGGCTACCAACGTGAACTGCACCATAGCTTATGATGTGAAAGCCACGTCCGTCAACTCTGTAGACTGCAAGTGAAAACAGATCTAGATATAGTAATTTGTACTTGTTTTATGTTTCTGCAAATTTGAACTTCTGCTGTTTTTTATAAATAAAATTGCTTGGGTGTATATGCATATCAAAGTATAATTTTGTAGTTGTGATTTTTTATTATATACAGATTGTTAGAGCTGTCTTTTTGTTTTTGTTTTTTGTTTTTATAAAAAGAAGAATATTTGAACTGATTCTGTCTTAGCTTTTTCGCTGTAAACTTGAGTAATATAATGTTTGACAGATTGAAGATTCATACCCAAATAAATAAATAACTAAAATAAAATGATATTAAAAACGCCTAGTAATGGGAAGACCATGGAGATTGCAAAATTTTAGTCTTTGAAAGTAATGAAAACGCTAATAAAGTGGTCAAAATTCCACGAAATTGGATCCAATCCAACGCTAACTCCGGTTGGCATTACAGATAAGACCTCTATAACTTGTCTCCTATGGACAAGTTGCAAGTTGTGACTCTTGTTGGGGTGGGGTATGATATTATTGTCTAATTTATCCACCCAAGTTTCCTTCTATATTACCAATAGGGTTAATTACTGTAGACGTCCTTAAACTATGGCCCCAGTTGCAATTGGGTTCGTGAATTAAATTTTGAGGCAACGAAATCCTTTAATTAGACAATCAGTTGCAATTAGGTCATGCTGTCCAACTCTGTCAAATTAACCTTCAAAATGAGGGGTAAAAGTGTCTTTTCGAGTCTGGAGACTCTCCTTCGAATCTGAACACTCGCCTTAAACCCTTCGCTTCGACCCCCAACTGAAGAACTAAAGAACTGAGAAGGGCCTGTGAGGGAAGGAAGGAAAAATGTCGGAGAGTTCGACAGATTCAAATTGCAGCCGTTGTTACTGTGAGTGTGGGTCGGAAATCAAACTCCGGACTTCATGGAAAGATATGAATCCTGGAAGAAGATTTGAGGCATGTTGCAATAATCGGGTAAGTTTTTGTTTGAATTGCAGAACAGTAATTGGTGTTTCGTTTTTTCGCATGGTTGGAGAATGAAATTGGTGTTTTGTTGGGTCTGAAATTGGTGTTTCGTTTTGTTTGAATTGCAGAACAGTAAGAGGGGGTTGCATTTTTTCGCATGGGTGGAGAATGAAACATGCCCATGAGGAAAGGAAATCTTGCCTGGGTTACTTAAAAGACTAAGAGGAATGGAGGACGAATTAAGAGCAACAACGGAGAATTTCAGATTGATGGAAGAAGAGAAGAATAAGACACCCTCACATGATAGGACTCCAAAACTTCTCCCTGAAAAGCTTTCAGATTCCAATATGTGTTTCTCTTAATCTTGCTAGAAAATCTCTCACAAATCCATTTGGGATTAGCAAACTTCAGTTTCTCCACCCACCCATATGTGTGTTCTAAGCTCAACTTCTTAATTGCAAATGTTTGCACATCCTGGTTTATCTGTGAAGCATAAAGTACAAATGGACATTTTAATCCTCCTCTGCAAATTGCCTTTACTCTTGTCTTGTCATTTTTATCAAAGAACAGTTTCCTTCCATGATTAATGGAATATTCCCTAAGTGCCTCTTTAAGAACTTGTATGTTTTCAAATTGCATCCCAAGCCGAAACTCAGGATTCTTTAAGTCCACCTCCCTTCTATACTGCTTAAAACGAGGCAGTTTTTTTTTCCTTCTCACCTTACTTGTCCATTCATTATCCCCTTCCATATCATCCCCATCACCCTTACTTTTAGTATCAATCTGAGGTGTGCTCACCATTTGATGACACCTCTCCAGGAGCTTCAAAAGCAGACCCCTTCATGAACAGGCACTTCAACTGTCTTAAACCCAAAATCTTCTTCACTGAACTCGTAATCACTATCAACAAATTATCCATCATCTTCTTCACTGTCTACAACCTCAGCTTCATCTTTATTTTCAACATCAACATTATCTTCCACCCCAGTTTCATCTTCCACCTGACTTTTATCTTGCACCCTAGTTTCATATTCCACCTGACTTTTGTCTTGCACCTTAGTTTCATCTTCCACCTGAACATTGTGTTGCACCTCTGCATAACTGTCTGCACCATCCAAACCTTGGCACCCAAAAGATGCTTGACTCCAAACTATATTAGAATTGCCCACTTCAGTCTAATACAACACAATAATCCCATTACATGGCATTTGGCCCAGCATGTCAACCAGTTTAGTATCAGAGCTGATAAGTTCAAGCCCACCTACACCATGGGTTCCACCCTTCCTATACAATATTTCTAGATTTGGTTTGGGGTTGGAAATGTCTACATTGTAACCAAGCCCTTTCTCTACCTGTCTTAAGTCCACCAATGACGAAAAATCCTCTACAACATTATCCAAGTAACAAACTTTTCCATTTTTATACTCCTCACTTTCCAACACACCCCCATGGTGAAGTTCTAAACTACAGTTTTCACGGTTACCTGCACAGTAAACAAGGGTCAAAACAATGCTAAAACACACACACCTGTTTTGGAATCATAAAATCAGACAAAACCATGTTTTAATTCAATGTTCTGCACCAAAACCAAAATATACAGTACACAATTCGTTCAGTTTTTTAATTGCTATGGAATAACTTCAGTCCATTTGGTGTGAGGCATATATAGAAGATAAGAAGGGATAAAAAAAAACCCTAAGTGTTGCAGTCAAGGACAGTATAAAGTAAAGCGTGTAAGGAATATTTAAAAGCTATGGACCACACAGATGAAAACAAAACCAACTGATACGTATTCAAATAGGCAGAATCACTTAACTGTACCCTCGATGAACCCCAAATTTCGAAGCTTACACAGAAAATTTCTCATTCACTCAGTCGCTGCTACAACAAATTTAACTCCAATGACTGCCTCAGAAGGGATAACTCACTGTATGCAACTCCAATGGCTGCCTCAGAAGGGATAGTTCACGTGTTTTCCCTTTTCTTCAACGCTAAATTAGGTTTGTTTCGTTCAAAACGACGAGAAGTCGAAGATACCCCGAACAACAAGAGCATGTGACACTCACATGGTCAATCTCGACGGATTCTGTTACGGCAGGACCTAATTGCAACTGATTGTCTAATTAAAGGATTTCGTTGCCTCAAAATTTAGTTCACGGACCCAATTGCAACTGGGGCCATACTTCAAGGACGTCTACAGTAATTAACCCTTACCAATAAATTCTTCGTTCGTCTAATGGTATTTCTCTCTACAATGTTAGAATTCTACCTCCCTCATTCGATCAAGAAAACTTGTTATATTGTCCACTTGTGTGTACATATAAGTAATTTTGTTGATGTATCTAATATGATATATTTCGATATACAGATATTAACTTAGGAGCTATGTTATATTATTGCAATTAATTAATCATCTCTGTTTTGATATACAGGTATTTAAGTAAAAGACAAAAGAAAAAGGGGTTGGAAAAAAATAATTTCTTGGCATGATTATTGGCATTGCAGATGATTATATAATGAAATAAATATCACTATATATAATATATATAGGTCTGTACAAATTCAAGCTTCACACACAAAATTACAATAAAATAACAAATTAAGAACTAGTTTTGATCTCGCAATCCAAATCCTGAACATGTAACAAATTGATTATTGTAGCGGTATGAGGTGTCAAATTCGAATATCTCGTGTCTTGATCAAGTGCACTCACTTCCTCGCTTGTATGATCACTTGCATTGTAATGTTTTGAGAGTCTTGGTTGACAAGTCAAATGTCATGGTGCAGTCCATGGTAGCAGACTTCCTTTTCTTCATCATTAACATCAACACAACCTTTCCAGTCAATTTCCCTTTGCTGCTCAATGTCAGCACCCCACTCTTCAATTCGGTGCCCAGATTGGAACTGCTTGGCAATCCATAAGAATTTAAACTCACCGTGACATCGATCTTTTTGGTAGAACGCATCTTAGCCTTGCTCTTAGGAACAACAACTTGGCCCACGGTCACGCCTTTGTACATAAACGTGACAGTTCCTGCATCAAACTTATAAGTACCCCAATTTGTGTTCTTGACTCTAATTTGGGTTGCGAAGCTTGCGTCGAATGAAGGTGTTGATGGCACAGAGCTGAGGTTTTGGACCTTGATGTTGCCCAACCTGAACTTTGGGGTCTTAACTTTCATCACAGTGAGTCCAAACACGGGCAGGACTATGAGCTGAACCACAATGAAAATAACAATGTATTTGTACATCTTGATTCTCTTCTGGCGTTTGAGCTCCTCGGATTGCAAAGCCACCGATTCTTCATCTCTTCTGGGGTGTCCATTAACTGGTTCCCTGTGATTATACTTCTCAGCCATTTTTCTTTTTATGGCTTTCCTTCCCAAAGATGGATTGAGAAGTGGAGAGGAGGAGTTCTCTATTTGGTTATGCTAGCAATGTGTACGTTTATAGGGTTTGGACATATTTGACTAATTCATGTATTACTTGAATTGGAAAGGAATAAGTATAGGTGAGTTCTTCTTGGAAACGAAAGGACCTTTTTTTTTTTTTGGAGTTATATATTTCAAATGAGAATACTAACACCCTTGGATGTGATTCTTGACTTCTAGATGGTTGCATGGACATTGCTTTTGATAAAAGATGAAAAAGTATGTTCTTATTTTATCTATTGAAGCTTCAATGGCATTCAATTGGGACCATATGATATTATATACTTTGTCCTTCAGCCAGGTGAAGAACGTGAATATGAGTTTTATTCAAACAGGCTGTACTCAACATGTGAAGCTACTTAATTAATTAATTTTCACCTAATTGTTGAGGAGAAGTAAGGGATCGTATGTTTTAATAATTAAGGATAAATTAACATATCAATCGTTCGATAGAGAAAAACATATGTGATAAGTGAGGACTTGTAACTCAAGTGGTAATTAAGATTAATTACCTCTACACCCGAGATTTCTATTGAAATCTTTGGCGACACAAGTTCCCCACAAGAGACTATTGAAATCTTTGGCGACACAAGTTCCCCACAAGAGAAAAGAAAACAATTTCGGAGTGATTCTTTTGCCACCCTCCATTCCTCTTCCCCACCCACCTCCTATCTTTATACCCCCACCATATGAAAAAAATAATAATAAAAAATAAAAAATCTACTTATCTCACCCCCTATTGTTCCTAAAATTGCCCATACTTCTCCCTTCTCTTATTTCCCC